ACAGCAGGACGATGCGGCGCCACAGCATCTCCGTAGGGATTCGAACCCGAGACTGTGACATAACAAGAAGTGGCTTTTACCATTAACCGTAAAGCATGATGGGACTGTGTCTAGGGTCCATACTTCTCACAAGTACACCCCCCTTACGTTAACATTCATGTGAAAAGCGTTGACACATTGGAATGGTGCTGACCTAAGAACCGAGTTGTTCATTTGATCGTCAATGTCAAGGAGTGTGAAGCACTCACCATGCTAGTATGGTTCCTTTAATGTAGAAGTCGTAAAACAAGAAAAAATCATATTAGCTTGAAGGTATCACGTACCAAAATCAAGGTTAAGTCGGGGCTGCAAAAAACTGAACAGGACTTGAACGGGACAAGTAGCTTGTTAATACGGGACTGAGTTATCTGCCCCTGCCAGTCAATAACTAGGCCACTTGGTGGCAGTGGGAGGGAGACGAGGCTGGGCTGCACCAAGATCTATAACAATCACCGCCTTGAACGAATCATAAACATGTTTGTCAAATCCAAGTACGAAACCACTTAAACACATGCAGACATTCCGATAAGTGGTATGGTATGTACCGTATGGTCATGTGATTACACTCCGCGTACAGCAAATATAATGCATGTTATCAGTAAATCTGTTGCAAGAAGGTTTAAACCAGGAGGTGTCTATTGATTGTTGGGTAAGAATGCATGTCTGAGTTACAAGGTGACGTGCGTCAGAATAGTTGCATTTTATTCGTGCGGCTAAATATTCCGACATAGTCGTTGACTCTCGAAATACTTAAACAAAGTCAAATATCAAATATTAGGGGCACGGTTGGCCCAGTCGTCTAAGGCGCCGCGATTCCCTGTGCAGAGTTGCGTCCCTTGGGCACGCCAGAAACCTATGATTGTGGGTTCGAATCCCGGTTCGCCCCAATTATGTTTCTAGGTTTGTCAGCACCATCCCCGTGCTCGTGGGTTTCACCGAAGTGGTAAACGTCTTAGACCTTCATCACTTCGGGCTTTCCTCCCACATTAAGCTGACACGCCGCGATATAACTGGAATACTGTTAAAAGCGGCGTTAACCCCAACTCACTCACTCACCTCACTATTATAAAGGGTCTTTCGCTACGCTTATACCACACATACATTCACAGATGGATGTGAGACCAGGTGAAATGGGGTTTAACGTCGCGTCCAAGATTATTGCACTAATTTAGCGACGTGCATGTACGTGTGTGTGTGTGTGTGTGTGTGTGTGTGTGTGGTTGCTTGTACTAGTCCGGACTGATGCCGATTTATAGTGCTAGCTCACTGAGATACCATGCCTCAGTTTTACATGAATACCCCACTCAGACACAGTATACTCTCTCCGAGACGACCAGTCTTTGTTTTAGCCCGTTAATGCCGAGCGCCAGACAGGGTAACAACAAGCGCCATCTTTTGGTATGACGCGGCCGGGGATCGAACCACGGACCTTCCGCTCTCCGGGCGGACGCTCTACCACTAGACCACGGAGGCGGTTTTTCACAGAGGGCTATACCATGGTGACCAATCCTTACCGTAACTGTCTACGATGGTGACCAATCCTTACCGTAACTGTCTACGATGGTGACCAATCTTTACCGTAACTGTCTACCATGGTGACCAATCCTTACAGATGACGTGAATCACACCCACTCATGCTGAAATGTTTTGTTGTTATGTTTGTGTTTAACGCAATATTCCCGCTATATGCCGGCGGTCTAATCGTGTCTGGACCAGACAATCTAGTGATTGACATAATGAGCATTGATCTACGTGATTGGGATACGATGACATGCATCAACCAAGTCAGCGAACCTGACCGCCCGATCCCGTTAATCGCCTCTTATCACAAGCATAGTCGCCTTCTACGGCAAGCATGGGTTTATGAAGACCAAATATATCCTGGATCATCACGGGTCTGCTGCAATGCGTTAAGCCGTATACTATAATTCTTGAAAATGGGGTTTTATTGTCTTCATTATATCTCTGGTAAATTAACTCTAAAGTCGAATTAAGGAATCCAAACATTTGCGGCAAGAGTGAGTGAGAATGGTTTAACGCCGCTTTTAGCAATATTCAGGCAATATCACGGCGGGGGACAACAGAAATGGCTTCACACATTGTACCCATATCGGTAATCGAACCCGGGTCTTCGGCGTGACGAACGAACGCTTTAACCACAAGACTACCCGACCGCCCCTTTGCGGCAAGAACTTTTAGTGTTCGTGATTGACAACAGCTCTTGTTGTTTTACATTTGTTTAAACAAAAACAAAATGTCAGCGAATTTATTACAACGAAAACGAAAAGCAAATTCTACCATGATGTACACACTTGTTGCTTATACATTTGAATCTCAGTAATAGCCAATGACGTCATCGACAGGACCCGGGATATAGGACGAATGTACTGCTAGACAAAGGAGGGACTGTAAGATTTCATACCATCTGATGATAAACAATCAGTTAGTCATAATGTGGAATATCCTCAGCAACGGTTAAATAGTACTCATTCTACGGTTGCATATTACATTTTCTGTCCTTAACATACCTATTTCCTTGACTATTAATCTCCTTCCAACCTTTTTACATTCTCCAATGCCTCTCTTCGTAACTTGCCTGTGGAGGAATACAACAAACTGTACCAGGGAATGCCACTACTGTCGCCACGGTTTACTGGCGAAAGACCTATATTTGACGTTTTACTCTTGTTCTGGGCATGTATGGAGCTGCAATTGCCATGTTCTCTATGTTCAATGCTGCCTGATATAAACAACTGGAAACTATCGATTATTGACGGTCTGAATTCAAGCCTGTTCTCCGAACCTACTGACAATTCACTGAGGATTGCAACAAGAACACATGTACTGTCGGGACGTTGTTGATGTAGCTGCTACAACTTCAACCGAATACGCCAAATATAACAGATTACAATAACTACAATCGCGTACAGTTAAACAGTTTAAGCAACTACAATAATGTACAACTACAACATGTGATAAGCATAGCAAAAAAAAACAGCGTACAACTATGACAGCGTAAAATAACTACATCAGTGTAAAATAATTTCAACAGTGTAAAAAAGCTACAATAATGTAAAACAATTACAAACGCGTAAAAAAAGTTAGAAGAGTGTAAAAAAATTACAACAGTGTAAATACATCAGTGTAAAATGAGTTTAATAGTGTAAAACAACTACACTAGTGTCAAACAATTACACCAGTGTAAAACAATTGGAACAGTGTAAAACAATTACAACATTCTGAAACAACTACAACAGTGACGACAACAAGAACAACAACTACAATAGCGTAATGACAACTGTGTTCAACAAAACAACCTGTAACAGTAGCGAGCTGGTTTCTACAAGGTTGCTGTTTATATCTACAAGGTAGCTGTTTATATCTACAAGGTTGCTGTTTATATCTACAAGGTTGCTGTTTATATCTACAAGGTTGCTGTCAATGGGGAAGGTTCACACTCCAATGATTCCCTATATTTATGTTTGATGCAGACATCAAGTTCATCTACATCAACAGTCATGTTTGAGCTAATCTCCCTGTACAACTGTTAGTGAATTCAATACTGTCGCACTACAGGAAAGAACACCACGCAAAAAAAAATTAACAACCGGCTTTGATAGTGTTGGTTTTTAAAGAGACGAAGGAATCAAATTACATATTTCAGAATGTACCCCAAGGCTATGCATACCGCTAAGAGAGCTTAGAATAATGGTTACACAATAAGCATAAACATTGGAGAAGTCAGCCTAGTCGGGGTCGCCTTCAATCAACAGTTTCCTAGGCAGCGCTCTTCAATGTCTCTCAAAACGCAATCCGTACCTTACATGTTGACCGTTTCAAGTCTGAATCGATGTTAATAAATGTGGGGCAAGTCACATGTGCCTCTTCTACTCAGCAGAAACTTAGACCCGAGACTATAAGCAGCCTTACAACTTTGTTCTTTATAACAAATGCATTGACAAGAATGTCAAGAATCTATTCGTCCTGAAGACTCTCGACACGGGTTGGAACATGGGCATTGCTTATGTAAGTTCGTGATGGTAAAACCATGCCGCACTATATATAGCTGCATAGCAATTGCATGCAATGTGACATATGAGGGCGGAGAACTTCGGTTACAAGTGGAACTTTTATCCTTGATGTCCTTCTTCCTTCCATGGCCTCATCACATCATTAGGTCACAGAGCATGTCTAGTTCATATATTTACACTACCACCAGACCAAATAATCGATATTTAATAGTTGTATTTCGGATCAGAGAAACTTATCATTCAATGCGAGCCAAGTCTTGCATAAATTTCATCCTTTAAGACTAGCTTGCATAACGACAAGAGAGACGCTTTGAGAGTTTGAACATCCCCCAGTTCTTGTCGCATATGGCTCGCAGGAATCTGCCAGTCCTCGAAACTGTTCGCTAACAATTAGACCCTTACTTGTCTACCATCTCGGCGGGTTTATGAGATTATGAAGTCGACATTTCCCGGGGGATATTTGAACAGACAAAGGTCACGCAGCATTTCTGATGTATGACCGTTTCAAATTGATAGCAATATTTACTTTGAGAACAAAAAATATACAGTGTGAGACCTAACATCCTAACAATGTTAATCTGCATCACTTTCACACATTTTGGCTTCATAATTCAGCCTTCGAGGGACAGAGGGACATGAACAGTTGTTCGCTGATGTTCATAAAACGGAAATGGCAGAGAAATAAAAGCAAACTCAAGAATTAAATTTCTTTTCGCGGCCCGACTTGTTTGATACAGGCCACACGAGGCCATAAAACCCACGCCTTTCACGTACAAGTATCTATAAATGATTTTCAAAAGGCTCGCATTAACTTCCTTATACAACCTTGGTGTCGCTGTTCTCAATGGCTGCAAGCTTTTGAATATCGAAATCGCAAATAAGTAATACAGTCGAGTGAACACATATCAATTCATCAAAAGAATTGTTTACCTTGAGTTATCCATCTTTAAATCGGCTCCTTTGATCTTCCAATCACCTGTAGAAGAGCTCGTGGCTCTATAAGTCTCCAAAGATGCTAGCTGACAATCATAGGTAAACTAATCACTATGTATCCATATCCAGAGTTACGTTATCCTAAAGCAACTGGTATCGTCGAGACACAATCATACCGTCGGACCACTGGTAATCCACGGTGCTATTCCCACAGCGCAATCGCTTAGGGACATTCACTTGAATGATTTCTCTCCTCAGCTTTCCCACTGAATAGATACAGCCCTCGGAGTCGCGCTACGAGCTAGCGAAGCAAATAGAGCTTCTCCCGAGCCGTTCACTGCCGCTACTTACAGTGAGCCCTCTCGGAACAATCGCCTTGTCCTCAGCGTGCCCCTGACGGAGCTCTCTGACGAGCGGGAGACGTAACTCTCTATGTTGTGGGATTGTTACCGATGAGCCCGGGTGTATCTCCGCTATGCATACTGTATCGTTACACGGAGTTATTTTCACCCTGACACGCGCCGGGAAATTAAGTCCAACAATTTTTAGCAAGGATTTCCAAACTAGCCCGTTGCAACTCGAAGCTCATGTCATATATACAGTTGCAACGGCAATGATGTGCGGATATGAACAACTGAACAGGAAACACTATGTGACTCGGTTTAAGAGAAAAACGCACCCGATAGCGAATTGATGAGAAAGGCTAAGATACTAAGAAGGTGTTTGACAAAAAACCGTCGCCCATAGTTTGAGGTATAAGCGGGTGACACACTGTCCTGATTGGCGACACAGGTATGGCGAGGGGCTCCGACTGTGAGTGTCCCAATATATATCCGGGCTAGTGGCAAGGGGCGTCTTCAAGCAGGGAAAGAGAGAGGGTCGTTGCACATAGTTATATATTTGTTTAAATCATCATGTGAAAGCGCTTCTCGATGAGACTTTAAAATGTCAAGATCGTGTGTTATGAAAATATACACTTCGTTAATACGAAAGGTCATCTGGTGTTGTAAATCGAACGCGCGTCTATACAGAAGGTACGCCTGATACATTCTCAAGCTAGTATCACAAGTATGTGGCGGGCTGGGCTTTCATTTAATGCCTATTGAAACAAAAAAGATTTTCCTGCGGAAATATTTGAAAGCGTCAGTCAGCAATGCGTACACATTAATCAAGCCCACTGAAAGAGCATTTGACTTGCTGAAACTAGAAACTGATCCCCTGGGGCTCTGCATCCGATCAGACTGCGTGCAGTGATGAGCAGGAATAATTCAGCTGGCTTATTGCGTGGGTACACATTGAGGAGGCAGTGAGAAACCTTCCCAGAAGTGATCTGGCTGACGTAGTGTTGTATCGTACCCCAGCCGTTGGTTTGACATGGGTTTTCTGATCCAAATGTAAATGTCTGAATGTGAGAGTATTGTAAACTCTGCATCCACAGATTATCAGCTGTCTGTAGATGTGACCGTGTACACAATCGCCGCCGTTCGCTCGTACCCGAAATCGATGTACGGTATCGCTCTCTCCGTCTCCTTATACACAGCAGTTTCACAAGAATAATCAATAACATTTTGCGTGGACTGACGTTTATTACATGTACAGTATAAGCGACTAAAGTATAAGCATAAGAAATATCTGCTGAGAGCAGAGTCCGTGGTACGATTCCGTGTATATCATGTGCATGTGTTTACGAATCATTAGGGGCGGTCGGGTAGCCTAGGGGTTTAAGTGATCGCTCGTCACGCCGAAAACCCGGGTTCGATTCCCGAGATGGGTACAATGTGAAGCCCTTTATGTTATACCCTGCCGTGATATTGCTGGAATATTCTAAAAGCGGCGTAATACATACTCACTATGAATCATTATCAACTAGTGATGACACCAGGTGTTCGCGACCCTTTCCTGACTCGCCCGTGTCACCCGTCACAAAGCATGGGAACGTTAGCCAAGACTAGCTACATGATTAGGTGTATATGATTAGGTGTATATGATAAGGTGTATATGATTAGGTGTATATGATAAGGTGTATATGATAAGGTGTATATGATTAGGTGCATATGATTAGGTGTATATGATTAGGTGTATATGATTAGGTGCATATGATTAGGTGCATATGATTAGGTGTATATGATAAGGTGTATATGATTAGGTGCATATGATAAGGTGTATATGATAAGGTGTATATGATTAGGTGCATATGATTAAGTGCATATGATTAGGTGTATATGATTAGGTGCATATGATTAGGTGGATATGATTAGGTGCATATGATTAGGTGTATATGATTAGGTGTATATGATTAGGTGCATATGATTAGGTGTATATGATTAGGTGTATGTGATTAGGTGCATATGATTAGGTGTATATGATTAAGTGCATATGATTAGGTGTATATGATTAGGTGTATATGATTAGGTGTATATGATTAGGTGTATAGGATTAGGTGTATGTGATTAGGTTCATATGATTAGGTGTATATGATTAAGTGCATATGATAAGGTGCATATGATTAGGTGTATATGAGCATGCGTTGCTATGTTAAGCATATATTACACAAGGCGATCAGTGTGTGGGGTAATGTTGTCTTACGTCGCAGTAAGCATATTCCAGCCATATTCCAGCCATATCGCACCATCAATCTGATCATATTGTACTAATGAATATAGATCATTAGCCAAATAGCGGATGCTTGGGACCTGTTTGACCAAAAATAACAAAGGGGTTGAACAACCGGAAATAACGGCGTTACAAACAGCCCAATACGAGTTATGGTCAACGTGATATACAAGACGAAACGGAAGGCATCGCTCATGAATAACTCGAAAATATACGCTGAGTGAGTGAGTGTGGTTTTGCGCTGCTATTAGCAATATTACTGCAATATCACGGCGGGGGACACCAGAAATGGGCTTCACACATTGTCCTCATCGAACCCGACCTCCCCAAATGTACACCGAGGTTAAGCAGTATTCAATCAACCTGAATCGAACTCAGTCCGTGTCCGAGATGTGCTGACCCACAAACCACTACACCGCTCTCGCCTCCATAAGCGTGGTTCGTATACAAGTGCTATTCTACTCATCAGCCTTCATCCAGACTTACACAACTCTCTAAGGCAATAATTAGTTGAAATGTTAATTTCTTAAGTAAATAATAAGAACAACCTGTCCCTGTCAGAGACTGGAGTTATAATGTCGACATATCTAGACTTGCCTATTAGGAGGATAGAATAACTACATAACGATGGACTTATCTTTCAGTACAGCCTTGAAGCAAGACTAGCCTTCATCAAAAAGGGCTAATACATGGTAAAGCGCAAGTAAACGCCTCTTTCAAGAACAGCCGAAACCAGCGCCATTGTGTTGTTCGCCGGGATAATTACATCGACATGATGACTGCAAATCTGTAGAGAATGAGTGATGTGCGATAAATTCCGATCACTGCGCTACACAAGGCGCGATCTTTTGTCATGCTTATCTCCACTGCTTCCAGACTCCTGGCAGCGCATCGGGTTATGGCAAATCTGGAAATATACATCGGAATATGGATTGGGCAGAGAATTTAAGTAACTGTCGTAACGACCCTGATCGATTTGTGTCTTTTGTCGCGAGTATTTCGGTAAGTCCCGTTTAGATCGCAGACAGTTTTTGCCAATTACGTTAATGAGGTACGCATTCAGCGTCAATGGAATCGAGCATCGTCAGTGATAAAGTTCGGCTCGAACCGCGACGAGACGACGAATGCAGTAATTGACTCCACCTCAGACAACTGATCTCAGCACAGTCGGTGATGAGAGCTTTCCGGAAACTCATATAGCGTTTTCACGATTCGTCTTTTTAACAGACCTTTTTTCTGAACCCCAGTTATTTTTGCACGCCTTCAATCACGGATGCTGATGAAATAACAGCTCATCGCAACGGGCTGTGAGGGTTGACGGTGGTTGTGCAAGGGAAAGTGGGGCTAAAGCGTTATTAATGACGTTACGGATACTGAAATGCCATACATCACTTCCTTTGTGAACAGAAAGAAGCACGTGTGGACGGTGGATACTAAAGTATGCATCAGACACTGAAACGCCTCTAAGGGCAAGGTCACGTTATCCGGAATGAATTCATGAAAAGGATCGAAGGCAAAGCAAAGTCGCTACTTCCAATATTGGTCTGATAAAGGAATATAGACAGCACAGTACAAATATACGGTTAACGTTGTGAAAACATTCTGTTGGAAAAAATATAAACAGTTATTATGTTTTAAACCAAACTGTTAATGTAATAACTAAATTGAAACTAACTATGACGTCAGCATCGGTACTAGTTCAGCTTCATTGGTACAATGAAGACATACAATAAAACTTTCTTTTTAATTATTTCGATTATTTTTCGAAAAGACATTTGATGCAACATTGACCGAGGTGAGCGAGTGAGTTAGGTTGAATGTCGATGTTACGTAGCTCAGTGACATTCAAGCTGGAACACAAGATATTGGCGACATGTGTATCCATGTCGGGAATCGAGGACGAGTTTCCGGCGTGACGAACGCTTTAACTACGTATAACCCACTGCCCAATGTGACCAGACCTGGATCATCCCTTTCTGACGACAGGTGACATGTTGTTTAAGGCCGCTCATTCCTGCCTGTTAGTATCTGAGTAAGGACAATGTGTCGGGGTACAAAGACACCGGGCCTGACCTCCCGATCATCAGTGTGTTAACCCCGGGTAAACGTCTACCTTCATCCCAGTGTTAATCAGTGTGTTAACCCCGGGTAAACGTCTACCTTCATCCCAGTGTTAATCAGTGTGTTAACCCCGGGTAAACGTCTACCTTCAACCCAGTGTTAATCAGTGTGTTAACCCCGGGTAAACGTCTACCTTCATCCCAGTGTTAATCAGTGTGTTAACCCCGGGTAAACGTCTACCTTCAACCCAGTGTTAATCAGTGTGTTAACCCCGGGTAAACGTCTACCTTCAACCCAGTGTTAATCAGTGTGTTAACCCCGGGTAAACGTCTACCTTCAACCCAGTGTTAATCAGTGTGTTAACCCCGGGTAAACGTCTACCTTCAACCCAGTGTTAATCAGTGTGTTAACCCCGGGTAAACGTCTACCTTCAACCCAGTGTTAATCAGTGTGTTAACCCCGGGTAAACGTCTACCTTCAACCCAGTGTTAATCAGTGTGTTAACCCCGGGTAAACGTCTACCTTCAACCCAGTGTTAATCAGTGTGTTAACCCCGGGGAAACGTCTACCTTCATCCCAGTGTTAATCAGTGTGTTAACCCCGGGTTAACATCTACCTTCAACCCAGTGTTAATCAGTGTGTTAACCCCGGGGAAACGTCTACCTTCATCCCAGTGTTAATCAGTGTGTTAACCCCGGGTTAACATCTACCTTCAACCCAGTGTTAATCAGTGTGTTAACCCGGGATAAACGTCTACCTTCACCCAAGTGTTAATCAGTGTGTTAACGCGGGCTAAACGTCTACCTTCACCCCATTGTTAATCAGTGTGTTAACCCCGGGTAAACATCTACCTTAACCCCAGTGTTAATCAGTGTGTTAACCCCGGGATAAACATCTAACTTCAACCCAGTGTTA